TTTCTTCAAGTGCTTTGTTTCCCAAAATAGTCAGAGGAGGAATCTGGGAAGAACTGTTCTCAAGAGATGTGGTCATCTTCAAGGCCAAATCTGTCTGGACTAAGTTTGTTCATTAGCAAGACTGCTTGAAAGGCTTCCAGATGTTGTTTGCTGTTTTTAATGCCTTATCAATAATAGACTGTAAGTAAGGTGAGGGATAAAAGTCCTGAGGAAAGAGAGTGTCTGCTTGAATTCTATGCTTTTAAATTAAGCTAACCCACACTCAACCAAATCCAGTATCAAACCCTAGGAAATAGTTCCAACTAATGCTTCTGGCTCTGTCCTCATGCCTTGGGATGTGACTACTAATTTCGGCTTTTCTGCTTTTCACCTTTGGCACTTCTTTGAAAGTGGGTGGTGTTTATCTTCTGGCTTTTTCATTTGTGGCTGCTCAGAAGTGTTGACGCTACTCAGCCAAGACTTGATCCCAGGGCCTTTCCTTAGCTTTGACCTGTTTTAGTGGCATCTGCACGGGGTGTGTGACTCCTCCAGGTGAGGGCATGAGCAAGAGGGAAGATCAAGCAAGGGAACAGGAAGAGTACCTGGCTCAGCTGAACCCACAGGGCACTGAAGCCTCGCTGGTTGTGCAGTCTCTGTCTCCTCACTCCTCTGCTTCTTAAAATTCCCTCCTGTCTCCACTTTTTCTATTTCAATTTCTATTAAGTCTCTACCTTCTAAGTGGTCAACCCTTTCGAGTATCCCTTTATATGACTTAAATGAAAGAGAGGGTGAGTGGTAACCATTAGCCAAACTAAGTTTGATAGCCAGGAGAAATTGCTGAGTCTCCAGTATCTTTACAGCACTCGACAAATGCCATTTCACCGTAGCATTTGGCAAAATGCTGTGGCTCTCCAGGTAATCAGTTGGTAGGTAAGTCAATGAATATCTGTTGAATGAATGAATGCGTATTAGTTGTGTGGCATTGTACCATGGTCTTTAAATAATACAAAGTAGAACACTTCATCCTTGTCTTAAGAAGGACACCTCAGGCCCATTCATAAAGAAACTGTTTTGAAATGTCACTGGGGGTCAGTGCAGCTTCACTGCTTCTAGAGAATGAGTCATTACTAAGCATGCAACCAGCTTCATTTGGGCAAAAGGGAATGTGAACAAAGCACTAGTTACAGCAGAAACAGATACCTATATGCTAATGAATTACAGAAGCTGAAGATTTTATTACTATCAGTGAATTTTGTATATAACATTTTCAGAAATAGCAAACTGCCTAAAACATAGATGAATAGAATGAGTTGAGCATCCACAGAACCACTCATGCCAAGTGATACAACTTGGCCCCAGAAGCCTTTACTCTCCTGTCTGATATAATAATCTTTTACTTACTTTTCTTTATAATTTTACCACCCTTATAAACTCCCCTAAAAAGTTTAGTTTTACCTAGTTCTGAATTTAAAATTGATTAGAAAACAACAATAATTGCATGCAACATTGGATGTGAAAAAGAAAACTTGTTTTTCTTTAATAAGGCATTTTTAAGTGTACAGTTTCTGTTGGTGATCAAGACATTTATGCCTTATTCCACTTACGTTTTCTGGCTTCCAGTCACTCTATTTCTTAATACTTTAAAGATATTCTTCCCAAAGCTTCCTTTGCTTTTACACTAATGCTTTCCTGGACTTAATGGGACTCTGAAGGATACTGAGCCCATCGTAATGAAAATGGATGTTGACATTCCATGATTATCACTATAATTATTCCTAATTTGTACTTTGCTTCAAAAAGTCTCTTTCTTTGCCCTATAAAGTCTGTACTTTCAAAATGGTATCTATAGCTTTAATTATACCTGACAATAAACTTTTCTCACCACAAAATTTGTTTGATCATGGATTATACCCATCATTATCTTCAAATATCCTATTTTTTCAAAAAGTCCCATTTATATCAGACTCTCAGAGAGTTATAATATTTGCAATGGTGTTTTCTTAACTGTTTCTGTAATCACTGTTTGTAATTACTACAAATCAAAGTGGTATGAATGAATGGATACTGGTTGAATTATCTACTAAATTGGAGAGAAATGCTCCCTTAAACTACTGTGCACTGAACAAATCTACAGAGTAAAAACTGAATGGAACTCTGGCAGCTTGGTCTCTATAGAGAATCAAATCAGATGCTTGTAGTTCAACAAGGCACTTCAGGTCCAGAATAATCCTGCTAATCACACTTCTTCCAAATTAATTAGCAACGTAAGTTTCCATAAAGAAGAGGTTTTCTTGTGGGTTCTGGTGAGATAGGATTTGGGAAGGCAGAGAGCAGTAGAAAAGCTCCTGGTGATAAGATCAATTAAAGCAAAGGACAGAAGACAAAAAATGAGAAGGTTATATTTGTGAGAAGTGGTCTGGACCTTGAGTGCTGTACTTAACAAGCTTGAAACGTTGCCACGCTGCCTTGTGAAAAACAATCTTTTTTGTTGGTTATTATTTTCTTTGAGTTAGACTTCACATGTTTCATGATGTAATAATGAGATATAGTGTTATTTTCCTATGTATTTGGATACAGTGAGTAGAGTGCTGTAGCTGAATCGATAGCTGTATGTAAAGGAAACAAGACTGGCAAGAAAAGTTAGGTCAGATTATGAAAATCTTTAAAATGCTTATATTGGACTTTATCCTTCAGATGTCATTTAGTGTTGTTGCTATTGTTTTTTGTTTTTAAAGTGGGAACACTATGAGGAAAGCAGTGTTTTGGGTGGTTTCTAAGGAGGATACAGACTCCAGGCAGGAAGATTAGGTAGGATGGTCCAGCAGTAATTCAGGGAGTAAGAAATAAAGCTGGACTGGGCTGGAAATGGTGGCAATGGCTGGAAAGTAAGGGATGGATGCAGCATCATATGGGGAGATTTTGGCTTCTTTCTCTTGGTCTTTTCAGCCACTTGGGCTTAATACTGTTCAGTCTTCCTGATTTATTTCCCTTCCATTTATATTTTCCTTCTCTCTTAATTATCTATTTTTTTCTTTCCTACCTTCTCCCTATTTTTTGCTTGCATTGAAAAATTCTATTATTATCTTATTGTGTAAGATGATGACTGAATCAGTCAGGTAGATGTCAAATGGGAGATATGGATAGAAACTAACCATAAGATTTACTAGCTAATTAAATATGTTGCTGCTTAATTAATTAATTTATTTCTACCTTTTTTTTCTTTCATTAGAAAGAAGGAAAGACAAGAAATGAAGGAAAAAAAGAGTAGAATGGAAAAAGAAGAGACTTTTATTTTTTCCACTTATTTAAGAAATTCCATGTTTCCAGAAAAAGAGACAGAGCCAAAGAATAGAAAAAATACAACAAAATAATTTATCTCATTATAATTTTTATCATGCATTTCCTCTGTACTCATCTGGGTAATGTAGAGATATCAGGGTGTGAGGCAAAAGACTAAGGTGTGATGGATAATATCCTTCCCTCCCTTTATGTCATATTGTTTTTCATTATGAAAAGGTGGGGTTGAACTGCTTACCTCTATACCTTACTGACTGGCTCACTGACTAGGATGCTGTGCAAGTGAATTTCAGGGACTTCTGAGGCTAGAGTATAAGAATCCTGGGTCCTTTAGAACCTTTACTCTTGGGATGCTCTCTTTTGGAGCCCAGCCACCACTCTGAAAGAAGCCCAAGTCACATGAAAAGGCCATTTATAGATCCTTTATGTGGCATCCCCAAATAATAACCAGTATCCTCTGCCAGTGATGTGAATGAACCAACTTGATGTTCAGCCCACTTGAGTCTATAGGTGATTGCAGGCCCAGCTAACATCCTACTGCACTTCCTAGAAGACCCTAAGCAATCCAGTCAATCCACAGACCAAAAAGACACAAGAATACATGACTATGTTGTTTTAAGCTACTACAGTTTGGTGTGGTTTGTTACATAATATTAGATAACTTCTTTCATCATGATATGAAACACAAATAATACTTTATCAGATGTTTGAAAAATTCATAATGCCACCCAGAATGCATGTTTTTCCTTTTTATGTATTTTTTACTTTAAAGATCACTTCATTGCTCATGAACCTTGAATTTGGAATCTAAATTGATCTCGGTCATAAACTTGAGGGAATATTGGTATTTAAGCAAATAGTATAACACTAATATATTTCTAGTACTCGTTCAGGATAAAGTGATATCAATGTGACAAGAATAATTTATTATAATCAGATGATGGAGTTTAAATCTTAGTTCTATCCTTTATCACTCTATGACCTAAGGCAAGTTATTTAATGTTTTTGATTCCTAGTTTCCAATGCTCTAGTGTAATTGAAATTCCTTAGTAATGTGTAGCAAAACACAGATGTTAAATGCATTTTCATTTCTTTTTACCTACAAAAGTCTGTGCTCATAAGCACAACCATTTGAAGTTTTAACATATTATCATACTACTTCCTAAAATGGAATATTTTTATAATTTATCAAATATTTCTCCTTATAAATACTTCATAAGTTTCCCTAGTATTGCCTTTGCTAGTGTGAGCTACCTTACCTTTCCTGAGGGGGTTGACCTGTTTAACACATTTTGGGCATTTGCTGTGTTGCTAGGCTCCCACAAAGGGACTTTTGGTGTCAAATTTCTTTGGTTTCAAGGATGTGACCCTGTTTCACATCTTGAATGTGGTTCCCTACCCTAGTGCAGATGGTAATAAGTTAAGTGCATATCAAATAAGAATTTTAATCTTGTTCATCATATGTTTATGTATTTAAATTTAAGAGTCAAATTGATATAATTGGTAACATTCCCCGTTTGCTTTGATTTGAGATGCCAAGTGATTGAAAAAAATTTTAATTTAGAAGCAAATTACCTTGCTTATTTGAATTTATCATTTTTGCATAACTAAGATGAACTAATTTAATTTGCAGTTATCCTTTTAAATGACTTAAATGATGTCTGCTGAGATACTCAGGGCCGCATGATTACTGAAGTCATTCTCAATATTACTCTGTCTTACAGGGTTGGAAAACAGAAGTGCAAGTTGTGAAGCTTGGCAGCAGAAGTTGCAAGCTTTATCTTTTCTCCATTAATATCTTTTTGCTGCTTTGTTCCATTCATCTCACTCTAAGCTGTTTTATGTTTTCCAGAGGGACCACACATTGCATTTGGTGATGGTCCCCCTTTTCCAACTGTTCTGATTTTATACCATTTTCACTTGATGTTTCATTCACATCTCAGTTCTGCAAAGGGAAGGCTGGCTATTCATTTGGTGAGTTATGATAGGAATCTCCAATATGATGCCCTTTGGGAGGACTGAGATTTCTTTAGCAAATATTGCTTTTTGATAATGCATTTAAATGAGTCATTTTAAAAATTTGGACACCAGACTACTGGCTGGGTGTCTGGAACCTATAATTTTAAAATAGTGTTTCTCAAACTGCAGGTCCTGACAGGTAGTAGATTATAAAATAACTATTATAAAATAGTGGGGGTTTCGACAAGCACTTAAAAGCAATGAAATAAAATGTAATAGATAATATTAGAGTGCATTATATGTAACCTGGTAAATACAATTTCATAAAACATTTTTATTAGTTTTGTGCATGTGTGTGTATACTGGGCTGTGATAAAAATTATTCTGTATATTTTTTGTGAGTTGCTGTCAAAAGAGTTTGAAACCCACTGCCTTGAATTTAAGCTATCTGTGGCAGTTTACAGTGGTTTGAAATAAAGTTTTTTAAAGTACAAAATACATATTTAAAATACATGTTAAAAGCCAACATATTTAAAATACAAAAGTGAAGATAACCATTAGGTGCTCATTTTAAATGGATTGGTGGGTTACTTTTGCCTTCAGAGCCTAGTCCTGAAATGCCTGAGGGCTTTCCAAAGGCCCCAACCCAGTTACCCTAATGAATGGTAGCAGCCCAAAGGCTATCTTATCTTCCTGAGAAGGTCTGAGATAATAGGTTATTCATCTATCTGTGATATCACTGTTGCCTGCTATGGTTGTGCTATGGGAGAATATGAAGCACAATGTTGGTCACACTAGTATTTAATTTAAATAGGGAAAGAGAGATGGTCTCCCAAAGGAATTGATGGTGCCCTGATACCCTCTATCGTTTTAAATTCTTACATTCACAGCCTATAGAGAAGGAAGAAAGTTGGTGTTCATTCTGTCTCATGTTACAAAGCAGCAAATGGAGGCTCAGAGGCATGAGGTCATTAAGATCTCACCCCATTATTTAGTTGGCTGTTTGAACTGGGCAGTTTCCGAAAGGGTGCAGAAAAGTAGAAGTATTTGAGTGCTACTTAGGGATGGTAATAATCAGCATTGACTGACTGGTTGGTGGTGGGCTGACAGATTGGGCACTGGGGGAGAGGGAAGATTCAGAGATAGTGTTTGAGTCCTTAGTTTTAGGACCCATATATGTGGGAGGCATTCATTTTCAAGGAGGACATAGGAGGAAAGTGTATGTGCAGAGAAAGATTACAAATTCAATCTGGGAATGTTGCATTTGGGTGATTTTGTAAAGTCTCCAAAAGAATGTGTTGGGAACCGCTCTGCCTGGTTTCAGGAGTTGTAACTGCCCCCCATGGCTAAGACTGAGTGAGTGACCTCCGGAATGTGAGCCTCAAAAGAGACAAAGCTTGTCTCTGGTAGCAAACGCTGCCTCTGTTCCTCCCCTGCCCCCAGTGCGTGGTCAGTTAGTCAGAGACTAGTATGACCCCTCAGAGGAAGGGCAACCTAAGCCAGATGTGATCATTGGGGAGGCCATCAAGGACTCGGGGGGCTGCAACAAAGAGAGAATGATAGACTCTTACCCTCTGGCTATTCTGACATATCTCAAGTCCCCGTGTCCTCTGGGAGAAGCACTTCCTGACTCTAATCCACTTAAGCCTGAAAACCTGTGATGGGGGAGGCAATGCAGCCCCTTGCTGGCTAGAGTGGGATCCGGGGTGATCGGGCATAAGAAGGAATTCCTAAAAGTCTTGTGAAGCCTGCTTTGCTAAGAGTGTTTTCATTCATATGATAAGGGTCTGAGCAGAAAATGAGTATGTCTCCCAAAGTTTTTGTAACCCCCTTTCCTGATAGACACTGACTTGGACTAAGCCCTCAGATTTCTTTGAAATTCTGTCTACTGTTTGATCCTTGCCACATATATTCCTGTGTATTACAACCCAATAAAAGCCATTGAGGAAGGGGATCCTGGCCTTTCTCCTCTGAGAGACTGGCCACTTCTCTTCCCCAAGCAGATCATGTCTTGGCAGTGTTACTTTCATCTGTGGTGGACAGGGGGGACTTGCTGGCAAAGTTGCTCCCACAAGAATATATTATAATTAAATATTCACAGGAGGAAAAGCACATGGCTATCGAGTTATGGAAGTTTAGTAAAGTCGTTATTTCCAAGAAAAAGTTATTATTCAGAGCCATGGTAAGGCCAAGTAAGACAAAGATGAAAAGATGTCTGTTAGGTTTAGCTATAAGAAAGTTAGTAACTTTCTACTCTGATATGTTGCTTCAGAAATCAGGGAAGGTTCATCCTCACTGGCAGGTAGTTGCAACATGTGTGCTGTTAATTGCAGATGGAGGAGGAGTGTCCCCAACCTCAGGCAGGAAAACAAGTGAGTTTCAAGGCCTTTGTAGTTTACCAAGCATTTTTAGAGAACAGTCATTTCAAGTAATGAGGACTTACTGTACACTAGGTAACTGTCTATTATGCATAGTAAACAGGACTCAGGAGAAGAGTGGACTTGAAAGTTCGTAGTCAGAAATTTGGGAGACTGTCTTTACTGACTGCAAAGGAAACTCAAAGAACTGTGTCTGCTTAAAGTAAAATGCCATCATTCTCCTCCCCACAACCCTAGTCTGCTAAGAATTCCCCTGAGCTTTCGTTGGCATTAATGGGGTTAATGACGACTGCTTAGTTTAGGCTAAACAGACCTTAGGGTACAGTTATGACTTTGCCAGAAACATAAGGTAACTGGGAGAGTCCTCATAAAAACAAATAAAATCTCAGATCTTCCACTGTTAATCTCTTTGCAGTTTGCTTTATTCATAACTGTGTCCATATGTTGTAGCTACAACCCATTTCATAAACACAGCCACCTTATTACTTACTAATAAACAGACACTTCTCATTTTAAAGCAACTTAGCATATCAAACTTGACTAAGAATTAAATGGCAAAAAGAGGTTTTATTTTATTACATGTTGTTCTTATGTTTGTCTTAAAAGGATTTTTGAGATGGCCTTGACCTGATTTCTGGGTCAAGTAGAAAACCAGTGTCCAAGTGGGAAGTCCAGATGTCCGCCATCTATCTCCTCGACCCTCAGGTACCAGTGGAGCAGAGGGGAGGGCATCAGAGTTACTTCTATTACTCAGAAACTTTAAAGGTATCTTGAAAATCTTTTCAGAGTTTCTTTTTTTCTTTCAGCATAAATTCCAAATCTTCTCCCTCTTCTGGGGACACAGAGATAAACTGCGTGATTTCTGCCTCCAACAACTAACAATCTAATGGGAAAACAGTCACCAAAAGAACTAAGTGCGACACAGGTGATAAGGACCACTCAGTTTGGGACTAAGTGCCAGGTGAGCAGAAGAGTGGGATGTTTAATTATGTTGCTCAGGTGGAGGGTGGGAGGTGGTCCTGAAAATCACAGTATGGGGTGAGATTACTAAGGAATTAAGACCAGATAAGACTAAACCTTGAAGGATTTCATTGGACAGTGAAGCGAGTGGAGGGTGTGTGTATGTGTGTGTGTGTGTGTTGGGGACAGGGAAGAAAGTTTCCCAGAGCAATGGAAGAACACAGAAGTCTGCGCTTAGTTGGATTTAGAAAGAGAGAGACTTGCATTGTTGGAATGTGGGAGCCAACTGGAGGGGTAAGTTGGGGAAAAGAATTAGTTGAACAAATCTTGCTTCCCTAATTCATTAGTGAGAAAAAACAAAGATGTGGAAAATTTAGGTGGCCCACTTAAAGTTCACAAGGATAAGAATGCAGAGAGTAATGGAAAATGATGCAAAGGGGAAAAAAACCAATCCTTTGAGATGCTAAGAAGGAAAAGCTTTCTGTTTTCCCAAGAATACAGATGGTTTGTTTTATCAGGATTTTAGACTGCAGATGTCAGAAAAGGTACCACTGAGGACCTGTTAGCAAAGGTGGTAAAGACGTGTTACTTCAATGCTCCACCCAGACAAGTCAGTGAAGGGGGCCTGAGGCTCATGTCTCCATTCCTGGTCTGACATGGGATCACTGCCTCTTCAGCTTTCCTTTTCAGCTATTTCCAGATTTGTTTTGGTGATTAACTTTTATTATATGCTTATCTATATTCTATATGCTTAAGGCTCCTTTCATTGACCTGAGGTTAGTTTTTTCTTCTACAAAGATACAATTCCATTTTTTGCCAACAGACTCAATGGGAAAATTCTACTTTATGACCAGTTTGAAGTAATTTCCTTATTCTATATATTATTTGAAGGAAGGTAGAACTGAGACAATAGAAGAAAATTGTAGCCAGAGCCTGGACCAAACCATGCCTGAAACAGCCATGAAAATCTTATGTTCTTTTCAGTTACAGAAGCCAGTAAATTCCCTTCATTGTTTAAGCCAGTTGAATAGATTTTCTGATATTTGCCACAGATTTTATCTCTACTAGTAATATCTGTCATATTTAAGAAGTTTAAACTAAACTAAACAATTCTCATTTGAAAGACAATACTTTTATAGCTTCTGAATAACAAATACATTTATAGTTTCTGTTACATACACATTGTAAAGGATCAAAAGTAAAATACCCGAAGCCAACTGTGACTGCTTTATTCACACAGACAAAGGGAAATGAAGTTTCAAGGAAAACAAATTTTAATATTATAGTTGCTTGAAGATAAAAGGGAAATTATAGATGGATGAGCCAGGGCTGAAATAGTTCGAGAAAATTGATGGTTATTTTGACATAAACTTTTGCCAAGATAGGCAGAAGAGAAATGAAGAAAAACTGGTGCTAATTCCTAGTTCACCATATCCCAGTTACTTTCATAGACATTACTATCACACTGAGTTCTACAACAATCCTCTGAAATTGCTCTTGTCCTCTCCATCCCCCACCTCCACCCCCATACTGCATTTGTGGGGACAGATTCAGAAAAGACACATGATTTGTTCAAGATCATGTCATTATTAAGTATCAGAGGCAGGATTTGAGTCCATATTTTGCTCTTTCTACAGGGGTGCATAATGCTAACCAGGGTTGGGGGAACTTAGCTGAAACTATCATACAGTGGTTTCAGAATGCATTTAGCAGTTGCTTTGTGTGCTGGAGGTTTGTTATATTGCAGATCCTAAGCTTTAGCTTTTTTGCTATTATTTAGTTTTCAAACAAGTCTGGCTCTTTGCCCTGGAAATAGCAAACACAAGGAAAGAATTGGCTTCAGTAGTGTTTGCTTCCATATAACCTAAGCAAACAAAAATGCCTTATTCTGATGCACTGCTTCCTTCTTGTTTTCCTAAAAAGATTCATAAACCCTCTGCCAATATGAGTGTTGGGGAAAATGAGTTTCTGAATTGTTGTTCTAGGAATTGCCTTTTGCAGCTGAAACTTTACCACTTGGTAAAATCCTCCCCTGCCATCTGCTTGGCTCCAAAACTGCTGCAAAGGTTGAGAGGAGCTGCTGAAATTATGAAGAACAAAATATCTGTGATAGATATTCCATGCCATGAAAATCTCTCTTTTTTTTTTGAGCTTGTTGAACACTGGCTCCAGAGAACCGAATTTCTAGGATTGCTAGGGTATTATCGAAAGATATCAGATCTTTGAAGACAGTTCTTTCGTCAACAGATGGTTGTTTACAAAAGTTCATCTCATAATCTGTGGTTGCAAATTCATCTCATCCCAGGATGAGAAAACAGGGATTCGAGGAAAGGACTAATGCAACTTTATACCCCAAGAAAATTTTTATGCCTTATGATTTCCAAAAAGTATTTTTAAGGATGTTCTAGTGTCAGGTGCTAAGCAGCTTTGCCAAGGAGTAGCTAACTGGGCATGCTGGGGATATTTGTATTTCCTACTCACTCATCCCAGCAGGCAAGTTCTGCATTGACATTTGGTATAACAGGAGAAAGGAGGCTTTGGGGAAGCAAATGTAGCCTGTTCTCTGTATGCTTTCTACCTTCTTTGAACGCTCTTGTTTGATTTTCCCTACATAGGTAAGTCTGGGAAATGATGGGGATATAAATTAGTATTTTCAAAATGTTCACAGATCCAATACCTTGTTTGAGGAGGCATTGGAAAGGGCTCAGGAAATTATTCTGGCTAGTTTCCTGAATAACCAGTTCAGAAGTGGCGAATGCATAGCAGGTTTATTTCCACTCTGACCCCTTCTTACTCTTCTACTGTCAGGCATCACTAATAGATCACTGCATTCCTTCAGAGGAAACCTCAGAATCTTTCCTAAAATACTCCAAGTAGCCATGATCAATTAGTCAGGTTTGGCACATGAGAAAAAAACCCTACTTTTCAAAGCTGGTTTTCTATGTCTCTAAATGGGAGACTCTCACTCTACCTTTTATTTCCTCCTTACCTCTTAATGAAGTAATATATCCAGGCCTTCAAGGCAGGAATTGGGAAGGTTTTGCACCAAGGCATTCTCAGCAGAGCACAGAGCACAGAGCACAGAAATGTGAGGTGACCAGATGGAGTAAAGTAGAGTGTGCATTGGAAAGTCCTATGAAATGAGCTCGAAATAGGAGGGAGGAGTCAGATTAAGGTGGATATTGCATTTAAGCCAGAATATTTGAATGTGCTTTCAAAAGTCAGTGTTTCCAAAGGCTGGTAAAGGTATTAAGGTTCTTTAAAGAAATAGAACCAATAGGATAGGATATGTATACAAACACACACAAACAGAGACAGAGAAAGCCAGACACACACACACACAGGAGTGGGAGTGGGAATTTATTCATAGGATTCTGGCATTTCTGTACCTCAGTGTTACAAGCATGGGAAAGGAATTCAAATCAGTATAGTAAGTACCTTATGTTAACCTAGCTCAAAGTTTCTTTTGTTTTAATGGTTTCTTCAAAGCCATTTGAACCCTGTGATTCTAATAATAAAAGTTTCAATGGGGAGGGAGACAAATACCCATGTAATGTTTAGCCTATTAAAATGGCCATTTGCAAAGCTTAAGCAGAGTATATTCTTACCAAGAACTTTGAATAAGGGTAGGTCGACATGGAAGAAAGCATAAGAAAATAGGAAAGTTGGAGTGATACTGGGCATGTCCTCTCTCCCTCCAAATTAAGTCTGATGATTATAGTGGACATTTGTTAAAGCCCTCTCTAATGTGGACAGGGAAATATCTCCCCAAAGTGTGTGTGTGCTTCCAGAATGCTAACTCACCCCAGACTTCACAGTGGGGCATGTACATTAGACCAGAGTTTCTCAAACTCTCTGTGGCAATGAACCACTTTGCTTCCTTTGCACATCTCCACCCACTGTGGACTGATAGTGTATTAATTACAATCAAAATAAATCACTGAAAAAAATGACACATGAAACAAAAACCCCAAAAATACATGTCTCAATTTTTTATTATTAAATTTAATTACTGTCAGATGGCCATAAATGTTTCTTTCTAATGATCCTTGATTTCTATACTTAAATCTCGCAGATGGTAAGAAAAGTATGAAAACAGACTTTGGTCCATGAACCACACTTTGAGTAGCACTGATATAGACTTCGCTAAAAGTATTCTCTGGTTCCCAGGAATTGTGTCAGGAGTGTTCTTATGACTCAGCTGGTCCCATTCAGTGGAATACTGGGACTCTAATTGAGAACACTAGGACAACAGTTTTGTTTTTCCTGCCAGGATGCCATTTTGGGACCACAAGACAAGTGCATTGGGAATGCGTCAACACTCAGAAAGCAAAACCAAGGGTTGGCGAGCCAGAAGCTCAATCTACTTCTGTACTGTGGAGGAAATGAAAGCCAAAAAATTGAAATTTTTGCTGAAGCCAGAATCCATCTGGTTTTCTATCATCTGCAAAAGAAAGTGTCCCATGTGACACAGTGATTAATTTGCACATCTCTCCAGAATATCGCAATTATCTTTTCTTTTGCCCCTCACCTTACAAACCAGAAATCTGGGTATGCCTTTCTTCTGCTTATAAAAACCTCAGCTTCTCACTGCCCTCAGTACAAAGTTCAAATTCAGCTTCTTAAATTGTTATTTAAAGTCTTCCACAATTGAGGCTCCTTCTGTTTTTTAGCCTATTTTTTTTTTTTTGCTGCTTTTATCCTTAAGCACTTACTTTATGCTTTATTGTGACCAGACATGTACTATTACATATGTTATAGGTTTGCTCATGTTCCCCCTGGCTGCACAGAACTTCCTCTACCCACACCCCTTCAGACTTTCTAAGAATAGGATCTTGAGAACATAAGGTGTTCATTATTTTTAAATGTTAAGCCTTACACATCAACATCATTCCTGCTGATTCAAGGGCTGTTTTTGAGAGTGTCAGCAGATATTTGATAAAAACTGCATTTAAACGAGAAAAGTCTTGTTGCATAGGGAATCTAATAGGGTTATACTAC